CAATACGCTTGTTTGCTAGGGGGACTACCTCTGTGATACCCTTTGAAAATATTTTTCCTCTGTCCCAAATGTGCGTTGATTCCCGCCTTCAGCTCTTCCGTCAGAAAAACCGCTTCCTAAAGCTCTAATTTTCAAGTTGGACTACAAGAAGTAATCACTAATTATTTTCTCAAATTTCGTTACATTTTCTCAATTTTCTTTGTATTTTTCTCGACTTTTTTTGATCAGTAATCATTTTCTCAGCATTGTTGATCAGTCATCCCGGTCTTCTTTCACCGACGATAACTGGAACAGCATTGATGATAAGTAAAGAAATTTTGAATTTATACCCTCAGGGGGTGTCGTTACCCGAAATGATTTAGTTGTTTTGTCGATGCTGGATTACCCCGATACCCAGAATACTTTGAACGGCCCTTGAAGTTATATGTTCTTATGGCTTAAAGTTTCCTCGTTTCACAAGCTCCTCATCGCCAGCTTGATATATTGCTTCGGTTAATGTTCAAACAATTCTGCCAATGCCTGAGAACGGCTCAAAGATTTTAATTTGTCACCTACTCAATCAAACGCCCTTTCCACTTCAGCGTTACCGACCTCGTGCCCCGATCGCTCCCGAACAACCTAGTAATAACTGGGAACACTCACCGAAGGTCCTACCGGTCGGAGCCTACCCCACGCTGCGTGTCAGTAGAATTAGTAAGGGCGAGTGAGTCTCACTTGAGTCTCATCACTCACTCAAAACTGTCGTAGCCCTTACTGTAGCTCGCACTCTGATAAATACAAACGGCAGGGATTCATTTGTAACTGTTATTTGCCTCGGTTGCTTGAGTTATTATCTTTTTGCAATAAATGACTACGTAATCAATATCTAAATAATCGGTTTCAACATGACTGTCCCTTTCAAATCCTGTCGACAGTCCCATTCTTCATGTGGAAAGCACTCTGAAGAATGGAATAAGAGTGATCAAACAGAAGACGTCGTTGAAGAACCTTCAGGCCTTATCCCAAGGAATAAAAGGCCTTTAGAGATTTGGCGGCACTTCATCAACACGCAACGTGTTGGCGTGACGTGTTAATAAACGAGCGCTGTTCAATGAATTTTGAACGATGTGCTAAGTGATTTGACCGTACGTTTGTGCATCGCCCCATCCACTTCTCACTTCTTCACCTCTTCATCTACACACTTAATCAGGGCCATGTTGCAGTCTTTTACTGCCCTGTCGGTTGTCGGTCACCCGCGCCGGTCGGGCTCGTCCCTCCCGTCCGTCGTCCATCGGCACTTCCTCGATTTACGGCCTTGTCGTTCTTTCATCTCGACGATTCTGGCCGCATCACGCTCCGATCACATAACTCCGTTTTGCATTCATAGTGCTCGAATTCAATCAGCCGGCCGAAGCTTTTCGCAGCTGCCTTTCAGATCGTACAGCCCCGCATAAAGTGTGAGGGGGCGGGGGCGTGACGAAATACAACGCCCCCTTGCTTTTGTAGGCCGTCTGAGACATACTTTCACGTCGCCGTTTTCGGCGAGCTATTCATCGAAACATACCTCTCTGAATTTCCAAAACAATTGAACGTTCGTACCAGTTACTCATGTTCCTTTAAATTTCCACGCTGGCATTCATATGGCTCATGATATGCAGATGCTGGCAGTACTTGGCACTCCGTCCTCACACCTTCTTTTCTCACCCGTAATTGCGACTTCGCCGACTTCTCACCTCGTTCGCAGAGGTCGTTGAGGTTTTTCATGATCATCTAATATCTCTAATAGCTGTGCGTCAAGGAAATCATGCCTAGGATAGAGGAGGATGAGACTTCCTGGAAGCGCAGCTGTTGGGGTTAAGGGCGAACGGGGGGGGGCACATAGCACTTTCTGAAAGTCTTGTTCAGCTTGTCACAGAAATTGAAAGAACTCGTTTCTACGACTCATTTCCGAGAGGAATGAACCATGTGTGAACCATTTAACCTTTCTCTAAAGTGTTTTGACTCTTTTTTCTGGGGGGATTGAACTAGGGAAGAACCTGTTACCCATTCTCTAAATCGAGATAAATGAAAAGACCGGCTTAACCTGAATATTTGAAAATTAAGGTCAGATAAGCTCGAAATGATTGAGTGCCTTGTTCCACTGAGTAGCCCTTCCTGTATTTTACTGTATTTTTGTATATTTTTGTGTACATATTTTTGACTCACAGTCATTCTGCTAATGGCAGCTTTGTTTTCACTTTTTTTAGACAGCAAAAATTTAATGCAATCGGGGGGGGGGTATTCATTATTGGACACTCAGGAAATTGTCGTTTTATTGCCATAATAGACTTGAACAGTAAGCTTGAGATGCGGCTTCAAGTCCAGCCTGAGGTCAAGATTTCGCCCATAACTCGGTACTCTTCTTGTAAATGTAGAAGAAAGGCCGTCGATCCTAATGTATTCTGTAGTAGCGTAAGTACATATTACAATAGCAAGAAGCAACAATGAATGTCGGTAGCTACTCCCTATACCTGTTGCTCTTTGTTGAGATCAACCCTCTGAACAGCACGTAGACCGTCAGTGGAAGCGGGTTTGAATTTCACAATCAGATGGAGTGGAGTGGTCCCGTCCATAAGCAGAAAAGGTGCTGTTCGGCTCGGGAGGGGCGCCTAGCACAGTCAGTTTTGCTAGTTCGTGCTAATTAACAGGTTACACTTCGCCGACACCTGTAAACTCCTATAAAGTTACGTAATGGTGTACTTAAAATCCCTGAAATCAGTAGGTGTAGCGGCGGGCTTGAACCAAAGTGTCTTTTTCCGACTTAGCATTACATTTGTCGTAAATTGAAATATACCGCAGTAACACATTCTATTTCTTTTTCAAATGCCACGCCTACTCCGTCTCAGGGGTAAGGAGTGTAAGTGAGCCGCTTTGTGTTGGCCCGAACCGGCTTCGCTGAGCACCTTTGGTGCCCCGAGCCGAATTGCGCCAAGTACAGAAGTTGTGGTGGCTTGGACTTTATTTGTTGTTTCTATTCGGAACCCCTATACATTCGTCTTGAATAGCTTTTCGATTAGAAAATACTGTTTTCTGTTGAACCCCCTTGGCCCTATATGGAAATCCTGCAAATCGAGCCAAAGTTGCTCGACCTGGAATTCGGGCATTTCATTGAACTTTACAAATATTCGTACTGCGTATGCATTTGTTTGATATTCCTCGATGTTCTATAGTTATGAATCGGGATATTTCAATCATTTCAACATGCGAATAAACGAACAATTGCAGTTTATTTGGAAGTTATTCAAGCAATATCGAACTTTGATCAATAAATAGTAATGTATACGGATGTAAATGTTGACGTTTCAGTTTTAAATCGCATTCGATCTGAGCATTTCGTTATGAATCACATGAATGCGTCACGAAGCAAATAGCTTAGATATTTTCTCAAGCGACCTCTTCCTGTCTCTTTCCCCTTCTTGAATCTTGAACGAAGCGACAGCGATTCTTCTTCCTTTGAAACCTCACCAGTAACGAGCCATTATTTTAAATCTGGCACTATTCAACTATTTCTATACTAGCCTTCCAAAAAACAGGCCAGGTTTTGACCGACTTCTATAAGGGCACATTTCGCTGAAAACTCGGTTCTATAGGTAACCTCCAGGAGTATCACACCCGCTTAGCCCGACACTGCCTTGCGCCCGCGCCACAAGCACCGGCGCCGAAAACCCTTATTACCGAGTTCACTGAAAACTTATATACCGGTGTTATTTGACATCCGCATGTAACATTCATTTTTGGTTCTGGCACTGATGGTGGACACTACGCTCATGTGCGGAGGCTGGTCCTGGCCTGGAGGAAATCACTCCTTCTCCATCAGCAGAGGCTAAATGGCGCTAGTGTTGAAAAATGAACGATAATTTCGTGATCAGGGCGTCAAACAACCCTATTATGCAACTTTTTATCGATTTTGATCCAAAATGGTGCGAAAAGGGTATGGTACCAAATAATCCCAATGCAAGTTTACACCTAATTTTGTGAGTAAGTGGTGGTGCCAAATTGGCGCTTAGTGGTGCCAAATGACGCCAGCGTCGAGACGAAAGTCATACTCATGGTCGGGACATTGAATTGCCCCTATAGGCAGATTTTTACCCAAAAAACTTTCTCGTGTTTTTGGGGTAGAACTAGATGAATAGTGTCTGAGTCTGCCTTCCTAATGACTACATGCAGTGCTCCTTCATGATCATGGCCTGTGAAAGTTTATACCCATCATCCTCGCAAAGCTCAGCACCTGACATCCCGGCTCAGGGCAACTCCGTGGGGTAGCGATCTCAGGCATCAGGCGGGAAGATCAGGCTTTTGTTCCTGGTCGTCGAGAGCATTGTAAGGATGTGCAAATAGTGTTTGCAACGAGGCACTTGACGATTTCGCACCGCATATTGTTTTCATATGAAATGTATTGTATGCAAATGTTGTTCATCCATCCAACCATCTCAAAGCGCCTGCTCGTTCATCACAACTATTCCGATGGGCGCTGTACGTATCTGCACCACCTGAATCATATCAATCGTAATGTCGTCAAGCTCCTAACAGCTTTTCTGCTTTTCGCTACTTTACTGGGTGCTTCTTCAAACCACTTCATCATGTCTCGACTCCATTATGCATGCATTTCTATGCGAAACGCGCTCGACGCCGCGACGATTTCATCGTTGTGGTCCATAGTATTCGGGTTTTTTTCGGACAAAAATTCTCATTAACGAGTTCTGATTCACATTTGAGCTGTCATTTTACCACCACCTGCAAGGACATTTGCGTTTCTTTATAGTATCAATTAGCGCCGCTGAGCAGGGTGTCTCATCATCCTGTTCGGACCAAACGACCAATCGTTCTTTCAAAGTTGATCACAATTGTCTGCATTCATGTCGCTAACTCACATCTACCAGTTCACACCTACTAGTATATATGAGCTTATTTTAGACACCAAATGGCTGGCAGCAAACGGTCGTCTCCCAGCAATAACCGCCTGTAAACATTGCTGAAAAGCGATGATATCGACGGCAGGGCCGCAACTCTCTATAGACGATATTCTCGTTAGTGAACAACTCATAAATGATGAAATATCCTCGAATGACCCGAATTCTCTTCGAACATCACGGTCTTCTCTCATCAAAACAAAGTAAGTGGAATGACTACCATTTTTTCCTGGCATTTTTGAATAAGCAATCAAACATTTGAACTGTCGGTCAAATGCCTGAATAATCTGCTGTGACAAGCATCATGGTGGTCCGAGTGTGTACGAGGGCAGAATTCTCTACAAAACGCTCAAGCGATCGTAAAGGTCTGAAAGACTTCTGAAAGGTCAAGAAAATCGTAACTCGTCGCTTCGTCGCGTTAGCATTAGCCTATTGTATGGAGCACTGAATTTCATGTGTACCACAACGTCATAGGCCTTTATGACTACTTTTTGGTTTCACATTGCGTACTGTCGCAATCTACGGCCCAGAAACCTTGCCACTTGAAGGCGCGAAATCGCACGCGACCCCCACTAAGGCGGTGAAATACGATTGTCTTGACCATCCCGTAAAGCTCCACGCCCGGGTAGTCAAACATCCGAACATATCAGTCATTTACTGCCATTGTATATGCGAACATATCCGAGTTTTTTTTTTGAAATCCAGCGAGCAAAAGATTCATATTCAGGAAGCGTCACGATGGACGATATCAGTGCCTGCCTGTAGCGTTCGCCGCATCGCTCTTCGGAATCCTTGCTACTGTTAGCCTTCTCTTGGCCCTTGCCTGTTTAGTTATACGGCAAGAGTCATGTGAACAACCTCAGTCTTCCAACTGTACAGACACTCTTAGAGAAGACAAGGATAGGGTGAGCCTCCTCTGTTCTGCTCAGGCATAGTGGATTATTTCATTGTACATTCTCATACTTACGTTTCTTCTAAGGGATCTATGCTGAGAACGTTCGTTCTGCACTTGTTACCATTCGGCTCTATCTCCTACTACCCCCTTCTGAAGCGAGAGCACGCTGTTGTTGGGTGACAGTGGCTCATGGTAGTGAGCTCTGCCCCAACAGCCTCGTAGATTAGGTGGACATTGGGAAATCTGGACTTGATTTTTGTCCCTCTACAGCGACCCAAATGCTATTTTGAGGGTTATCCGTTTCAACGATTATGAAAAATGACTACCGAACCTTCTGACCAGTGCGGGCTTAGAGGCTGTTTCGTGGATCTTGGGAAGAAACTCGAGAGAACAATAGGCGTCAAGCTCACCCCTGAGATTTTGCCAGATTTACAAGGGGACATTTCCAATTTTCGCAGTGTCATGCTTTGGGCTGTAATAAATACGAACTCTCAAGAAGAAAAATCCGTTTTGCTCTGCGTTATTGCAAAGAGTTTGTGATTCAGCTTGATCGAATATCGAAGGAGCTGTCGGATGAGTTTAGTTCGATGCGAATCAAGCAAAACATGAGGTGGATGGCCAAGACATCACATATCGCTGGTACTGTCGAGAATGCTGCGCTAATTCGGCGGTTGAGTGAAGAGGTGCTTCCTTACTGCATTAACTCCTTTACTTTCTCCGATACCTGAAACCGTTGAGTTCCATGGTTATTGTAATTTCATTCTACTTCGGAATCCTTTATTCATCAGCAACAAGTAATTAAGCAGGTACTGGTTTGACCTCTTAGGCCCTAACACGCTGAAGAGGTAATGCGACTAAATTGCCTTATGATCGCGCGCGTGAAAAGTGTCATTGTTAATGCCTCCTACGTCCTTCATAAACTTGGATATGCAAATGATCTTTAGAATAACTTACCTGGCTGCCTGAAGTTATGACTACCAGTAATTTGGGTAATTACCTTAGCGTATTGATAGCATGCGTTTTGCACTCAGGTTGTATTAGAGCTTTTCAAAACTCTAGTAGATCACAGCTTCCAATTGAAGCATGAGTTTTCATCGTTATTCATGCAATTCGCTACAGATTTTCGGCGCAGTTTACCAACGGGGGGGGGCATTTTGGTTTCCATAGATGTGTCGACCCATCTAGGTAGTCGTCCCCGGTTGACACGTTTCAGGATGGTGGCTAGACGATCTTGCTCCATCTTCACAAGAGTTCACAAGTTTTACCAGAGTGAGGTTTGTAAACAGGAACTAGGAAAGCAGTGATAACACAAAATGCCCCCCTCCCGTCGATAAACAGCGCCCGGATTTTCTTTCACCGTGGACCTCATAAATTACAGTATGATCGCCTCGGACTCACAGTGAAGACGTACAACTACAGTGTTCTATTGAACTATCCGGATTTTGACAATCCGAATACAGTGGAAGTGGAAAAAGAAGGCGGTTTATGGTTGCGTCTGAGTCGTGGACGTGGTCATCCCAGCGGACCTCAACAAGCTGTCAACGAGGTCGTTCGCTCTTCGCTTAATGTTGCATACGAAATCACGTTTCGCTCCTTTGAATATACGCACCACCACCCCTTTCTTTCCACTGACTTTTCGAAACTTGGGTACCAAAGTTTAAAGCGGGATGTAAAGGGAATTCAGGGAATGAGTGACCAATAATAATGATGGGAGTACCATTTGCAGTGTAAGCAAAATTTCCATCGTCCGAGGTGAAGTAAGCTGTATTTTTTCCTGTAATATCATGTTCATAGTAGAGAAATTATGATGTAGGACGAGGGTCATGGGAAAAGTAAATGAGTAAAAAGTGGTAATCTCATGAAATAGAGGATTTTTATGCAACATTACAAACGACTAAGGAAAGCACATCGATTCTCTCTTAGAGAAGTTGTAAAGATCGACTTTAGCAAATAGATGGGCGTTCTGAAGTGTGGTGGAATGCGTATTCGGCTGATGGTTCAGTTGAAGCCCGTATGGTGTACTGTAATTTTGGAACTGTGGACGATTTCAATACACTTCAAGAGGTATGCAATGACAAACGGCCCAACTTTGTGTTGGATGCTTTTGTATCCATAGCGCGTCGTACATGCGTTGGTGATTCCCAGCGAAGGGGGTCGTATTAGGCCGCTGGAGAAAGGGAGGCGTATCAGGAGGAAAATTTTAGGGAGGGGTCACATTTTGCAGAAATTTTCTAAATTTTCTTTGCTTTTTTGTGCTCTTTTGTACAAGCGTGCGCGAGGAGTTCTTCAGGAACCCGCGTTTCATTTTAAGGACGCAGAGTGAGATGTGGGCCAATCAGCTCTCATGTGAAGAGGCGAGGCCACCGTAAGGGTAGCTTCACCTTCACTCAAAAGGCATTATGGATGATTTGAAAGGGCTGGCGAAGGTGCTGCAAAATACAAGAGCTCTACTTTCACTTCTTTTATTTTCTTATAGAGCGAATTCGTGGCCCTCTTTGCCTTTTTCTAACATTTGTAATAGATTTAGATGAAGCTGTGATAATTTTGTTAAGATGGGTATTGATGTCCGAGGAGCAATAGTGCTGATACGATACGGCGCTCTAGTGAGATCCGAAAAAGTCAGAGAGGCTGAACATCGTGGTGCAGTTGGTGTGGTCCTGTACAGTGATCCAGCCCAATACGTCGATCCGAACAGTAATGGTGTAAGTTCTTCTTACTGCGCTATAGATAACCGTTCCCTATTGGAATGCTCGTATGACGTCAAAGGCAATTTCCGTGATCAGTTCTTTCGTTTTAAGCCAGACTAGTAGCAAACGCTGACTGTGGCGATTTCGTGGCTCAAGGGCACTTGGCACGATAAATCGCTATACAGATGTAGGATTTATACGACTGGCTGAACAGAATTCCATGACTTGGGACAGGCCCTCCTGGCGCCTTTTTCAAGGACTGTAACCCTATAGAGCCCTATCGAGCAACAACATTCCGTCCCAAACGCATTCGTCGCCCGCCCGCCCACAAACGGACGACCGTTCCTGACGCTCGTATTCATTAAGTTGCTGAGCGAATTGTAAACCAAAGGAATTGGTATGAAGCGGCCGTGATGCTGCATGCATATATGGGTGTACATATGCATCCATACCTTCGGTAGCGGTGATTGGCAAGATGCGCGCGGGAAACTCGTCCGAAATCGATTTTCAAGTCACTGAGAACGGAGGCTTTTTCTTCGCCTGATTTTGACCGTTTCACTCCGTTTGCCATTTTCCCCACTACATAGCGCCCTACTAGAATTTCTAGCCGAGTGGAAAACCATCGTGCCAACTGCCTTTAAAGCTCTAATGTATGTAGGTGCCTTAGAGGTCCATCAGGCATCTACTGCCTAGATTTCAGCGTCATCTCAATCCTTGCGCGCTGTAATGCTCACTACCAGTACCTATAGCAAAAAACAGGGTCTTATTTATGACAAATTCTACGGTTTCTATTTTTTCGTCACGAGCAGGGCAATACGTGTACTTTTTCCTTGACTCTTGGCTTTCTCTTTCTTATTCTACTTGTTTTTCTCAGAGAGCAGGGCCTGCACGGATTCTATAACGATTGTAGAACCTGGCAGGCGGCCATTGGTGGAAAAGTGGTTGGCGTCGCGCCAAACACAGCTCCCCTCAAGCGCCCCAGCTTTCGCAGCGAACGAAAACTACATACCTTGTGCGCTTTCCAGACGTTAATTTTTACATCAGCTCCCATTCAAGCCACTCAGGCCTTCCATCCCTCCAGACCTGGTGAATTGGTAACAGAGGCTTATACGAGATATTATAGTTAATCTACCTTATACACTGGCTGGCCCTCGAAAGTTATAGCGCGGACCAACTTGCAGTGAACGTGCAGCTGCTATTTCATTTTGAGTGGAAAAAATGCCTTGCACTCAACAAATCACCTTGTTCTTTCTTGGGAAATACCTGAATTTCAGACTTTTCCACACTCCTCGTCGCTTCCTGGACTGGACGCACAAAGAGGTTCCGTTGGACGAGTACCGGGCGACCCACTAACACCTCTTTTACCGTCACTTCATTATGTGACACGAAGTGAAACCTTGGAAACTCTTCGAAGAAAAAGTATGCTTTGGCCCATTACAAAATCGTCACTACTCTTCTAAAGCAACATTTTCAGAGGTGCTGCCCCGCATTCCAGTGACACCAATTAGTTACGATGACGCTCAACGAATTATCGACTATATGGATGGTCCCATTGTGACAGTTGGTTTTTACTCATCGATTCCTCAGCAGATCCACACCTTTCCAAATACCTTTCTAAGGCATGCTGGGACCGACTTCAAAATTGCTAAGCACCGCTGAGTAGATAGATAGAGGCGCTGTTGCTCCTGAGGAGGGTTGCGAGAGATTCAAAAGACCTCTTGAGATATGAAGGCGCTTATAACCTTGGAGGTGTTCGAAGGGCTCAAAAGTGGGAATTACTCCGAGAATTTTTGCCTAAGCTCAGAGGAGAGAGGAGCTCCAAGGTCTTCCAGCTTGCTCACTTGAGCACAAAAATATGCGCTCAAGTAAAGTCCCCCTAAATCGCTGCGCGGCCAGTAAGGCAGCGTTCAGACTTCGCACGGCAGCGCTTCGGTCACGCGTTCGACGCAATTGATGCGCATGCTTTCCACTGCACTGATCTCGTCGAACACGCGACCGAAGCGCAGGGCACATCGTTGTTTTGAATCCCCAACAGGGGTGGTCATATTTGGCTGCCTGGAGAGGGGGTCGTATTCGGGCTGAGAAAAATTCATTTTGATAGTAGATTTTTCTCGCTTCACGGACGCTGTAAAAGGGGGAGAGGTCGTACTTGCTCATTGTTGGGAGGGGGGGGGGGGGGGGGGTATTTACTTTTTGGCCTTCTGGGGGGGGGGGTTGACCTTTCGCTGCATTTTCCTATTTCATGCGTACTACCCCCCCCCCTCCGCTCGACGGCTCGACTCGATGGGGATGGAGAGGGCTGGAGGAAGTGGTGGGGTCGTACCAACCCCCGAAAAAAGGAGGGAGGGCCGTACTAAAATCCCCACAATGATGTGCACTGCCGAAGCGCTGCCGTCGCGAAATCTGCTTAAGGTGTCAGCCTGAACGTCTGAGTCGTGGTGGTGGAAGCCATGGTGCAAGCATCATCGAGTGCGCGGCACTCCCACCAAGACCTTTTCGATTTGCTGTTAAAGATGTTATGAAACAGGCAGGAATTGCTAGATAGGAAATGCAGTGCCCGCTGAGTTATTTCCTTCGCGTTGTCACAACTTGTGTGTCATATAGTATTCAGGCTTCAGTGTAGGGCGGACTGAAATACTTTGGTATTGAAGAAGTTGCACCTTTAATCCCTCACACTTTCAGCGAAACGACTGGATCGGCGGATTGTCGATGTATAGATGGAGTAGTCGCCGGAAATACCGGCTAAATGTTCGATCAAGGTTTGTGATGGAAAGTGGTCATATTTTTCACCGATGTTAACTGGAGAAAAAATAGCTGGTTTTTTCTTGGGTGATCACGCAAAGCCTAAAGTGTTATGTGGATGTGAAGTACAGCCGTCATCCGGGCACTTGATTAGGCGGCGAAGGGTCGCGACGCGGCTGCGGCGTGTCATGACCGCGGCGATCAGCTGTTTCCGGCCTAATTTGGCCATTTTCTCCCTAATTTTCACTGCATGTTCTATTTTTTCCAAGGCAAGTTGTTTTTTGTCTTCTTGAAGTATATCAGGACCTGGAGTCTTTTTTTATTTTTGTAATGAAGTGTTTTTGCAGTTTCTTTAGGTATTTGTTCAATTGTCTGCTTAACTGTTAAACTGTAGCAAAAATCAGAGGAATCTTAATCATAGTTTACCATGTGAGGACAAGAGACACCTAATCTTGAGAAAAGCATCCAAAACAGTGTAAATTAGGGAGAAAATGGCTAAAATAGGCTGGAAACGCTGATCGCCGCTCTCGTGACACGCCGCAGCCGCGTCGCGACCCTTGGCCGCCTAATCAAGTGCCCGGATGACGACTGTACAAGTTTCTGAGAATTGTGGAATGCGATCATCAGAGCCTGAGCGTTTATACCATTGCTGTAAAAAAGTTCATGCATTGTTTTCTTCCTCGTGGTCGCTTTGGGTGCCTGTGGCGTTGGCGCCAAATATTCGAAACAAGACGTCTTTTAGAAAGTCGATTAGTTTCAGGCCAAATGGCTGTGACATTCGTGCACAGTGTATCGGTCTATAACTGCAGACGAAATTTTAGCGAAACCCCGGGGGAAAATTTTGGTCAGAATGTGGTCTGAATTTTGCAGAGCAAAGCAGTAAACTGCTGATTTAGGTCGAACTCGCCACTGGATCTCACTTTTTGATCTAATAGTTGAGACGTAGCTTCCAGATAGCCGTGTAACAACCAAATCTTACAGGTTTGCTAAACGGACTATCACTAATATCATAGCTGTACTGGAAGGAAGGGAGGAACCTGACCGTTGGGTGATGCTCGGGAATCATGTTGACGCATGGGGTAAGGTGAGTACTACTTTTGTAGATACGAGCTGATGAATCTTATTCTCTTCCGCTTTCGAATTAGTGAGTAACCGGATCGGAAACAATACTAAACAATTTCATTCAATCTATACTACAGTCACGCTTTCAGGGTGCAGTCGATCCGGTTTCTGGCACAGCTGTACAACTTGAGGTGGCAAGAGTGTTGGCAAAGGTTAGTTCAAAGGAGTTCTTATCAGCTCGTAAAACGGCTCATAACACAGCAAATACATAAGCTCCTAAACAGTATCTCATGAAGACGACCAAGGCGTTCAATTGTGTTCTGTCACTGGGATGCTGAGAATTTGGCCTCATAGGCTCCAGTGAATGGATAGAACAGCGTCTAGGAGTGCTTCAAAGACGGTATGTGACGGGCTTCGCTTTCTTTTTTAATCAGGAATAACTTCTTGATATGGCTGGGGAATCCCTTCTGAGGAAAGCCGTACTTGATAGCTGTGTGCGTAGGGTAGGGATATTTATATGAAGCTCATGAAAAAATCGACAACTGAGAGAAAAAAAATTTCGACCTCAAGCTTATGGTCATGTTTCCTAGCTGGGTGATCCAATATGAGTCCCCCTGGGGAACACCTTCCTGAGGTCTGATCGGCCGAGGCGTACCGCACAGTGAGCACCCGGGACGGTTCTTGCTTAGGATTGAGCTTAGTAAAACTGTTCGCTGGGACCAACATTTTTATTTGTTATTTTTTCCCAAACACGAGGTGATGTAGTGACAAGTGGCGCGCTCACCACTGACGCTGTCTTGGGTTCGAACCCTTGCTCGACGGCTGGGCCAACCAAGCCTTCTCCTCCAGGACGGTAAATTGGTACCAGATTTGCTTGGGAGGTAACAACCCTGACTTGTACATCGGCTGGCCTCTGTAAGTCACTGTATAGGCCACATTGCTTTCGTTAAGCTACTACGGTTCTGAATGGAAGTAGAATGCGTGTCGCATCGCACAAAGGGATTGATCAACGGCGAAGACTTCATCCTTTATAATTTTATTTTTTCCCACTTGATATCATGCTCTAGTGAAATGAACTTTTACAGAGCAGTTGCCTACATCAATGTCGATCACATAGCCGGAGGCAGGTCATTGGATATAAAGGCAGTTCCGCTTTTATATCGAACGATAGTTGAAGCGTCTCAGAGGTCGACATATTACCCAACAATTATAACAAAAATTATATATAATTCCTCATAAGCCTTATGCATGACACTTTTCAGAACGCCATACTCGGAAGGTTCTACCGGGGACAGTCTCCTGGATTCATGGAGACATTTTCGTCGTCGCGGTCCATTCTTGGGTGATCGTGCTGTTCCAGAAATTGGTCTCCCAGCAGGAGGATCAGACTACCAGGTAGACATTTCCTATTCACTCAACGTCGTTTGACCTCTAAATGATGAAATAAGAGTTTCTAATTCGGGAAACATTACACTGTTCACTCAAAGGTAGTTGGCACGATGATTTGGTGCTCGGCCTAAAATGCTACTAGGGCGCTATGTAGTGGGGAAGTGGCGAAAGAACGGAGTGAAACGGTCAAAATCCCGCGAAGAAAGAGCCTCCGTTCTCGATGTGTTAGAAATCAACTTTGGACGAGTTTCCTGTAGGCATCTTGCCAGTGACTGCTACCGAAGATACGGCTGCATATGTGTACTCATATATCTGTGCAGCATCACGGCCGCTTCATACCAATCCATTCGCTTCATAATTTGCTTAGCAAATGAATCGATTAGAGCGTCAGGAATGGTCGTCCATTTGTGGGTGGGCGGGCGTGGCGGGCGTTTGGGTTGGTAAGTTGTGGCTTGATAGGGCCTTATAAGGGCACCTCCCTTGGAAAAGGCATTATGCAGCGCCTGCTCAGGGTCGCGGAATTCCGTCTTGTTAGGCGTATTAAGCCTACTCGTCTTGAGGTTTATCGTGCCAACTGCCTTTAACTGTAACCGGTAAATCGTTCACTAATCACCAATTCCAGGCAGCGTCTGCCCTCCACACTAAGAACGCCACATAAAACATCCGTTTAAAAATACACTTCACTTTTGATTGGCGTAATCGTTTCCAGAGATTCATAACTTTTGCTGGTATTCCTGCAGCCGACATTAAGTTGGAGCAAAGACCTGGTCAATCGTACGCGCTCTATCATACCATGTACGTTCTTTTATCAGAATCAATTGGTTACAGTATAACATCGAGGTTTTATACCCTGTGTTCAGGTATGAAACCCCATGGACTTTTGAAAATCTGATTGATCCAAACTACGCCTCGGTCACATCTGTAGGTCTATTGTGGGTGGAAATCGTTCATCGACTGGCTAACAGTTTGGTAAGCATCAATGTAATGGATTACTGTAGATTTTGCCCTGTATTGTCCATCACCATAACTAGTGTTCAGGTCATTCCTTTCAATGTACTGGATTACGCTCAATCCTTGTTGGTGTTGTTTCATAAAGCCGAAACACACCTTTCAAGCCTGGAACTAACGGAAACGATTGCTTGGCTGCCACATAAGTTGAGTAGCTTGAATGAGGCTCTACGTCGTTTTCACAACGCTTCCCGAAGCATACAAGCGGAGGCCCAGGTATGTAAGCATTTACGCATCATTTGCACATCTTACCTATGATGCACTGTATTTCCTGGACCTATAGAGTAATGCAAAGTATTAGGTTAGTGGACGGGCGTTTCCTTCTTGCGATCAATTCCAATGGGAAGTATTATATGATACACCTTTACCGCCAATATACGAATCATAGGCTACATTCGTTCTTCGCGGCAGCGTCCACTAACGACCAAAAGCGTCCACGAGCGTCTACCAGCGTCCACCAATAGCCTTTGAGCGTCAGTGACTAGGATATGAATATCGATCTAGCGTCTGCCAGCGTCCACCAGCGTCTACGCGTCTCGAGGGCTTGGGAAGTATAGGTATCGATCTAGCGTCTGCCAGTTACCAGTGACCAGCAGCATCTTTGAGAGGAGTGTATGGGGCGATAGGAGGGTAACAGACGGCTGGTACAGTATGGGGAGATAGCAGGGTAGCATGCTGCTGGTAGAGAGTTTGGCGCGAAAGACAGATAGCACTGCTGCCCTCTTACCGCTTCATTCTGTCTACCAGCAGTCTGCTACTGGTTGCCGGTGGACGGGCAGAGGCTGGCAGACGATGGTAGACGCTGGCAAACGCTAGCAGACCCTAGATCAATACCTATACTTCCGTAGCTCTAGAGAAGCTGCTGGTCGCTGGCAGACGCTGGCAAACTCTGGCAGACGCTAGATCGTTCTCTATACTTTCCTTGTCGCTGACGCTGCTGTACGCTCGGGGCGCTGGTAGGCGCTGCCGCAATGTGTGGGCGCAGGTGTCTCGTCACGATTCGGCTGAACGGTGTCAGAAGACGTAGAATGAAGCGTCATTTTTGAGAACTGGTTCTTCTCTACCTGAATCGGTCGCTATTAGTAGAGAACGCAGCCGCGGGTGGGCTCATTACACGCCTGCCGAAACCGCACCTCTGGATCACGACGATATCAACAATTCTGTGTTACTAGTATCGTATGATATTATGCCATAACTCTTTGAACAAGCTCTCTATAGGACATTTCGAATGGCTTGAAGAAGGCTTCCGCCCAACGGATCAATTCTATCAATGCTCGTCTACAGTACGTCGAACGTTCGTTTCTCAACCCAATGGTTACGGTGGATGAACTCTACTATCGTCATCTAGTATTCTCACCATCCACACAATCTTCACGTATAACGTCATTTGCTAGTATTCTTGACCCAGCTTTGAAATATCATCATTCTCATAATGAAACTCACTTGCATAATTTGGCAATGGCAATCACAAAAGTGCAATATGCTGTTGAAAGTGCCATTGATGCTCTTCAGTAGTATTATACTTTATTCATACTGGTATCATTCAGGACTTTCATTTACGATGGGCCTTAATTGAATGCAATTCACTCAAATTACTTGCATTTGCAATAGCTTTCAAGCACCTCTACTTCTGTACATGTTTTACTGAATATGTCAATTGTAATTACGTGTTCTTTATCGCTTTCATAGTAACTGACAGTGCAATCCATGCTCATTTAGGTCCCAATTTTTCTCAATTGTGAATGGCTCTTCTGTCATGGTGCGCTTGATTTGACCCTAAAATGATGCAAACCACCGCATTTTGTGTTTCACGCTACTAGAGCCAAGGAATGCACCCAGTAGTCAACAGCAGGACAAGAAAGGATTTCTACTGATGCCCAGTACCAGTCTTGCAGCGTATGTTGTCGATGAGGGATCCTTAATTAGGGAACGGTTTTGGGCTTCTAACAGCCGAGTTGTTGAGAGAGCTCATAATTTCTACGAAGGATGAAGCTTTTTACTACTTCCTGCTACCCCTCCCTCTTCTTCTTCCGGCGGTGGTCGCATTATTGTCTGAGGTTGCAAGCGAGAGAGTTGGAGCCCCGAAGAAGAGGTGGAAGGACTTAATCAAGAAAGACCTCAGTGTAGTCAAACAGGGCGAAAGCCGATCCGGACTGAGACGTGGTGGGAACCAACGACTAGACAAAGAAAGAAAAATCCAGAGATGAGACTGTAAAAGAAACAAATACCTTTTGAAGCATAGAAACTGCTCAAAGTGCCATAAGGGGATAGTTAATCACGTGGAAAAGGGCGCGATGATGTGTCTTGAGCTTTTGTATGCTTTTTTTTTTTGGGTTTTTTAAAAACCAGGAACTTGGAAAAATGCAAGGTTTCCGCCAACGTTTCGCAAACGACCAATGAGAGAAGGATGACCCGACGTCTGAGCCTCAAGCTTAGCACTCGCTTTCGAAATGTTATACCAAAAAGAACTCCGAAAATTTGGTTTTGGCAAGAATAAAGTAGCGATAGATGTGAGTCGATAGAAGAGTAGTCACAAGGTAGAGGTATCGGATTTAAGAAATAGATCTACCAAAGGGTGCTCCCTGAGGCGGGACTCTTATATTCTACCAATGAACATCAGTAATGTTCGCTACAAATTGATGAGTATCCCTAGCTGCGCTTCGGCTTCACGCCGCCGTAACATGTCCTAATTTTGCAGGTCAATAAACTGTAGCGTATGGGAGACGTCGTGGCGGAAATGCGAAACACCGAAAGTCTCTTTCCCCTCCCCTACCCCACCCGCACGATGGGCAGAGGACATGGTGAAGGCATATAGAAGAACTTACGCACGAAGATATTACCGAGTTCTTATCAACAGCCAATCAGGCTCCCTCAATCAGATAGTGAGCAGCTGGACATTCAAATTTTTTCAATATCTGAACCGTTTGATAACTGGAAAAACTTCTGTTGTATTTTCCTCGCCGATCTCGTTTGTCATGATTACACAATTGTGATATCTGGCGGAATATTTGTCGAAGATATATTGGTTTTTAATAAACTCTGTTCAATGGGCCAAGAGTTGTTTCTCATTTCTTGCGACTGGTTTGGGGCATTGGCAAATCGATCTCTGTAATCGCGAAAATGTTTTGAGACCAGTGTTACATAACGGATTCTTTGTGCGAATCAGGGCATACGCCATCGCCGTGTGTGATCATTACCTGAAAATACCAACCCACCTCCTAATTTCGCAATCCTCTGGAATCACGTCATCGCTCACCCGCTGCTACCTCCCCAACTATCCCCAGATCCCTAACCTCCTACCAGTTTCCAAAATTTTCCGAAAACTTTTCAGTTTTTTTCCCCAAAATTTTGCTGTGGAGCAGGAGGCGGGGGGGGGGGGCGGTGAGGTCGTCAGCATTTAACTATCATATTTTCAACTGTCGGGAATGGTGATTGTATAGTCCTTTGGCAGTACCTCTCCCAACAACGACGAAATACGACTCTTACCCTCCCCCCACCGCTTTTTCGGGGTCATATACGATCCTCCCGTTGTGATCATCACAACAATGGCGTGCCCTGGTCGGATCAAAGGGAATGAATAAACGGCAATGCTCACGATAAACTACGTTCGATCCTATTAGCAAGTCCGTTTTCTGTGATTTGGGTATTACTGGGAGTTCTCCTCGCGATTCTGGTTTTACTAAGCTGCTTCCCAGGTGAGTCAGGTATTGCGCATCCCAGTGACTCAAAGGTCGCCGGATTATTCCGGAAAGAGCAGAAACGACCGAGGAAAGGCATGGAACGGCAGCAGTCTGGTGTTTGGGTTGAGGTAGCATATAACCACCAGCTCACGATATTGTCGAGTTATATCCCAATGTTGCAGAAGCCTCACGACTACCTGAACCCATAGTCCCGAAGTCTTAGGGAAAATGGTTAAGGTTACGCTACCGCGTCATCATGTTAACATAGTTCCCACTCTAGGAACTGTGAGTCAGGTTAGTTAAGCTACGGCACAAGTCGTTTATACCTCAACAGCAATAATGGAGAGACAGTGAAAAATAGCGCGAAAAAGAGAATGGAGTAGACGGTCGTTATTATCCGCAGCAATAGGCTTTCAGATGCCTTTTGAGACACTGCCTCTTCTGTGGTAGGAGTCGGGAGAATCCTGCTTCAACTGGTGCATCAGTGACGCAGTGGCACCGTCCCACTCTGACATGCTGGTCGCTGGATCACTCCAAGACCCCATTTCTTCTCCTCTGTTCTCAACACCTTTACATGAGATCGGCAGTACTCCCATTGCAGTAGTACTCCGTCTGTAAACAACAACCCGGCATCATAAATACATAATTCTATACGATTGTTACTTTATACACTCTCTTGTGTCCTTTGGCTCCACACTTTCCAACTACGCTGTTGCGGCAATAGCGCAGTGCTAGTGCTCTACGCTTTCACTGTTGAAAGAGCAGGAGTGGTCACACGTCTTTTTCAGGTAACATCATATACTTCCTCGCCCTTGACGTTTTCTGAGACCCTCATACTCTAAGACCTCTAAGAGGGATGAGATGTCCTTCATGGGAGCTAGCGCTGCTGCTGTGCGTTATTTCAATCAAGCCTTCGAGTTCCAGTAAAGTCGGCAGGTTTTGAATGAGAATGAGCAACATTGAGGGTTCCAGCCACGACTACGAAGCACGTTCCATATATGTATGTACGTGGATGGTTTCGTGACGTAAGCATCTCACCCGCATTTGATTGTGCGCGTGAGATGAAATGGATATTTTTATTGGGTAAACGACAACACAGATCTAGGGCCATCGATCCATCGTACGCCAGGATATTAGCTACACTCGAAATCCCAGAGATGCGGTAGGCGTGGCTGCGTATCTGACTGGAACGTGGCAGTGCCCAGAAACTTCGTGAGATATTTGCTTTATGAGGCAGTTGTAGTCATGTCTTTGTCCAACACAGAACAAGATGACAGCTGTCTCAAATCAAAATATCCCAGAAGCAACCCACTTTATGCCCTGTCCGAATGCCACGCCTACTCCGTCTCAGGATAAGGAGTATACGTTGCATGTAACCTTCGATTAAATTGATTTTATTTTCCATCTGAAATCGACGCGGATACTATGCCTTCTTGGTAGTCACGACCTATACGTTCTATTATTCTATCTTTCATTTTTCAAGAACTGCAAAAAAACCAAAAGAATGTTGTGTGAGTAGAAGTACTTCTCGAAAATCAAAGAGACCAATCTAAGACGGAATGCACTGCGGCCCTCATCGGTAATAAACACTTACGCATGGGTTTCGAGTGTTCACCAACAAAGTTGGGCACTAAGCATGCGAAATTTTATAACTGTTTTTTTCGCTTGAATATGATGATGCTCTTCCCTCTGAATTTTATTTGCCTAATTGTTCAGATACAGTACGTGGTTTAACACATTCCAGACTGCATGACACACATGAGTGTCATACATTTACCCCTACCACATTCTAACATGGTCTAATTTTGCCATCTATTTCTAAAATTATCAAGCACGCTTCAGACGAGGAATACACGAACATCACTCGAAAGTGGAAATCGCGGTAAAAATTACTTCCCATGAGTCAAAAATGGCGAAATGAAGGCGGAGATCCTTGCGGAACTGCTATCCCGCAATGCATTTAGTAATACTATAGGAGCCTTTGCGTCTTGGAAACCAGGCTGAACTCGTGTAAAACTGCTATGAAGCTGGTAGAGATGACCGTGAGTGTAGGAAGGTACACTATCGCCACGGATGCTATATTTGACAACAAATGGGCTCAGCCTAAATGGCTGAGTACAAACAACTGTTTTCATAGGCAAGTATTGTATGCGAAACGACTCCGCTTAGGCACCGAGTTGCTCAACCGCCAATAACACATGTTGGTAATCAAATAAGTTGATGTTCGCGGGCCAGCACAGCAAATAATTGGCCACCGCTTTTAAAAAGAAGCCCAAAAAAGGTTGCACGACATCCTCACTTATACACTCATCACCTTCATCACAATACAGAAATGATCGCCCCACCTGGTCATTCTCCTTCCGCGATCTCACTTCTAGCATTCATCCACAGCGAGCCAGGTGTTACTTCATAATTCAAAGTCCTTCTCAGACCTTTCTAGAACCTTGATACCTTTTTTCTAAGCATGCAACGTTTCAGACATACTCTCCGTGCTGTTGGGGCCATGTATAGGTGGAAGGTGTCAGGCTGGCCACACCTGCTACTTTGACCAATGTGTTCCACAACGACCACGATTCCGAAGAGCGCCCAACAGAGGTGAGGAACAGTAGAGTCGTGACCTGCGTTTGAAAAAATCTCCTCCGTTTAGTATCTTTTCAATAATATAATTGAACATCGGGACAACCGGACGTCACACGGGGTCTGCGGTAGTTTATACTTCCATATAGCAACAAGCAACAGTAAATTGGAAAGTGGCCTGATAAGTCAAGCTTAACTCTTTTGGAGACTAAGCGAACACGGCATTAGCAGAGCGCGATAGTAGCTCTGATTTCACGAAGCACTTTTGGGTTCGCCATGAACTTGTTTTCGCTCAGAATGCAGTATCACCCGGATGCATGCACAGCTTGAACCCTGCGCAGCTTAAGGGCTGCTAGAGTAGAGGCAGTTCCACATTCCTGGATCAGCAAGGTAATGTGAGGAGGCAAGGGATGGAAAACGCGATGTGCCGCATCCACGGGGACTCCTCTAGCTGCCGTGCCTTCGCCATCATCCAAGTACTTTTGATGAACATTTTTTGAAAATTCATTCATCAAAACCAAATACATGATTTATGTGGCAGTTTCCCTTGGCATATATGCGGACCTTCTTGAAATCCTAGTGATTTCTTTGTTTCCAGGTACCGCAGTCGACCATGCATCGATAACAGGTGCCCGCCCGGATACTTTTGCTTATCAATCAGAATGTTTGAAGCGATAGATACCTCTCCTTCACGGGTCAAATCGAATCACCAATGGGTCGCGCAAGAATTCATTTTTTTCATTGATAATTTTTATGTTAAGGAGCAATTATAATAACAATAAAATTTGCTCGAATTCGATGTAATGCAATGCGATGCAATTGTAAGTCGATTACTTTACTTGAAAATCTCTCACGAAGTTAATGTTCCTTGATCATGGAGCAGAGTCCACCTGTGCAGCAGCCTCATTACCACTCGCGTAGCCATCAAGCAAAAGTGCAGGCAAGATTTCGTATTCGCCAGCTATTAGCTTTGTTGCTGTCTGCTTCGTTTGGATAGTGTGCTGGTAATAGTGCTTGCAGAAATTCAAAGGGCGTAGCTTTGAGTATGACCAAAGCTTCGAGTATGACCAGTCTCTGTTAGGGATGCGCCACGCATTCGTCAGGGTGGAGCAAGATTAGTGGTGCACTTGATATTCCAAAGACATTCCAAAATCGGCCTTTTAGAAAGCAACGCCTACCAAAATTCTCCATACATTTGATGGCGTTCCGCTTGCGGGAAGCCGCTCGCGACATCGTTTTCAATGAAAAAATTTTCTGGAAACGTTTCACTATGAGCCCAGTCGTCAACGCGCTCAAAATGACAGAATCATTTAAAATCTACATGGGACTGATGCTATCGACGAGAAAGGCTCCACAAAATAATCAAAATTCCTCGTGCCCCTTTTATTTTGAGTTATAGTCGCTGCAAAAGGCAGAAAAAGCTTCATTTTGTTTTTGATGGAAACGGCGTTAAAACATTGCACATGGCTAAAGAAATTTCTGGCGAATAGTTATAAAAAGCATTTCTAATGGGCGTTAAGAGGTTGAGAGTCCGCTCGCGTGGCGAAATGGATATCGGACTTTGCGCGGTGATTGTGAGGAAAGTATTCAGGTCCCGCTAGAGGTCAGGACTTTTGTCAATAAATCGGGATCCTCACGATAACTTTCAGACTTCTGCCTTAAATAACAAGTTACGATAAACAAGACAAATTCCAGTGAATATTCCGAAGCCATGGCCAATTTCCTCACGAGAGGCGTACTGGTGGCTCTTGGCAGAACTATTCTTTAAACAACTCCATCACTGTTTGTGGTAAATGGGCCAGAGTTCTTACGGGGGCCAAATTCAAGAGAGTTTGAACCCTCTCTGTAGCAATTCCGTCCAAATCAGTAGTCGTAGACTACCTGGGTTCTCATCTTCTCCCAACAAGAAGCTGATTTACTGTAGTCTACAGTCCTCATCATTGCGGACTGTGCGGGCGGCTGAGCCGCGGCTGCACTGTGACGCGACAGTGGCTGCGGCTCGGCGAATCAGCCTGATTCCATGGAATTGGCTGCGAATGCCCAACTTTTTCAGCTCTTCAAGCCTCGAAAGTGAAGGTGAGTTATTTTGAACAATTTCAGGTTGTACTGGTCTGAATGAATCTGAAAGAATGCAAGCCATTTGAATAATAAATAATGTTATCTTTTCGTTGTATTTTGCCTTAAATAAGGCAAATACAACGAAAGATAACATATTAATGACATAAAAATAAGGAAATTTAGAGCCAGAACAACTTAAAATTGTTCAGAATGTTCTCATCTCCCAATTTCAAAGCTTGAAGAGCTGAAAAAGTGTGAATTCGCAGCCGAATTCCATCGAAAATAAGCTGACTTGCCGTCAACCCAGCCGCAGCCGCTTTCGCGCTGTCGCAACGCGGTCAGCCGCCCCGACAGTCACAATGATGAGCGACTGTACAACTGACTAAGATGATAGAACTTGAATAAACTTCCCCATTTAACATAGTCACCATTTTAAATGCATTCAACATTTTTAAGCCATAATTCCTCTAACATTTAGTACGCGGTATGCAGCCACATTAGATGAGCTCTCATGAAGGTTGTGTTAACATAGAATTCGTAATATTTATTCATACAATAACTGGCAACAAAACGCCTTTGACTAAGTATACTCGGATGCGTTTTAAGGTAACTCTCGGAGGCAAAAGAAAAACTCCAGGTGTTCTGAACAAGGACGTCTTTAGACTCAGTTTCAGATGAGTCTGTCCCTTCCGATTCAGCACCTGATTGCTTTCGGAGCGAGCCTGAAAGCCGTGCAATTAGGATCGAGCAGTACGAAAAAGAACCAAAAAAATGAAGTGTTTGCCATAGTGACCGAAAGTGAAAAACAAAGTCAGAAAATGTAAAATGAAATAAGTTTTGAAAGTGCCAATTAGTTACAGAACTAGCATCTCGAGTCTGCACCCAAACTCCCTTCGCAGTGTGTGCAAATACAATTCTTATGCAGCAATTTACGTTGTTGGGGGGGGGGGCAAGCAAGCGGCTACTTTACAAACTCGACTACGTGCTTCCTACGCTTTTCTTTTTCGCGAACACTCCCTGAGCATCACGCTCAACAAACCCCGCGATTGCATATTGGCAGGCTGACGTTCAGTAACAGACCTATAGTCGCTATGTGATTCTCCAAGGATGAAAAACAGCAAAAAGTATCACAATGAACAACCTAGGACCCCCTGGCGGCCTTAGTGGACGAGTTCTCCGGAACTGCTCTTTTTGAGCCAGCAGGGCGACATCCTGCCGCCTTTGGCTCACTAATCATTTATTGGCATCATCCAATCCTAAGACCATAGAAGGTGAAAAAAACCAACGGAATAAAGCTGAATTTCTGAGTGAAAACAGCTACGGAAATTTGTGGGCGGGCAACTAGGCGGTCAGAAATGCCACAGCCGCTATGCCTTCGTTACCTCATTAAGCCGCGAAAGTGAACAATCTGAGAGAATGAGGGTCAGCTAATTATGAAAGGAGGACGCCTACGAATAGTACGGGGACTGTCTTTGAACGGATCCAATCTCTTGCTTTAGCAATATGCGCCGATTCGGGTCATCGTGAAAACTGTGCTCAGGGTAGTGACGGAAAATGGATAGGGCACCGTTTCTACCTCAGCGGTACTCGTTAGCTTCTATAATGGGAATCAGATAAGCCTTCAGACAAGTATACCAGGAATAGCTCTCACCTCATGATCCCATTTTTTTCTTTCGTCGGTGAACACCTGCATTTGAGCTGTGAGAGCTTCTTTGAGCGTTGCGACTTCGTCGCGTAAACTGGCAACTTCGCCACGCAACAATGTATCAGAGGATTCCTGAAAAGACGGGTTTTTACTCAGCTCTCTATCACCAGCGTCAATACAACCCTTAAATGGCGATTTCCACCGAACAGTGTGGGTGAGGAGAAGTTCTCAAATGGCCTCACTGATTGACTTCAAGGAATTCAAAGTGGGTGCACAAAAGGTTTTCCTCTGTAACACACGCGATGGGTCAGCTACTGAGTCTATAATAAGGGCGACCTTGCGGGAAATGTTCCCTGGTTGTGGGATTCCACAAGTTGGAGGTGTGCTTTGTACAAAGTATAAAAGTTTATTGTCTTGGCGTTAATCATATTCCTTTGGGATGCGCCACAACTTCTTTTTCGATCGGAAGTCGCCGTGCTTTTTGGCTTCGATTCAGTTCAAACCGTTAATTGCGGTAACCAACTGAAGTTCATAGCCAGCTCTTAATGCAATCTACCTCACCGTAACCCCTCTGCTCTTTTAACTTCGAAGTATAAAGACAATTCCCACGATCAAGTGTTACGGGTAGAAGTAGGTACTCAACCTTGAGCCAGTAGCCCGTACGTAACTCCCCAGTAGGGAAAGAGCGAAAAAGACCTTGGAAACCCTCTGAACAGAGACTCCTTAGCAGTGGGCACCTTAAACGAGCTTGTCGGACGTCAGCAAGCCCAATTAGCAGGATTCAACGTACAACCGATTCCCGGCAAGAGCACAGGAAACCACACTACGACGTTCCAGACAACGCTATGTACACATACAATCCCACTTGTAAGTCGCTGTCTTGCAGAGTGAAAGTAATCTTGGTTGCAATGGTTGTAATGATCGCGCGTCTCTAGCTTCTTTATCTCGCCGTTTCGAGTGAAGAAAGTGTACAATCTCTGCGACTGCGGACAACGATGCCAAATGCGCGGAGGCATTTCGCGGACCACTTGATCGCGGAAACTGCCTTTAATTTTTTCGGTGTAGCTTACTTGTGTTCGCCTGGACAACGGACCAGAATGACGTTGCCGACATTCGTCACATTCTCGTGCCTTCTCCATTTCCATTTTGATTTGCGTTAGTTCACGTTCAAGTTGGAAACACTGAAATTGAATAATTGTGGGTTGTCGCTCATCAGGTTACTGCTACCTGCACTCCCGCGCATTGTTTTCGTTCTCAAAAACTCACCTTTCTAAGCAAGCCTGTCTTCTCATCCCGAAGACCATCGATGGTCCTGCTCATGTTCTCCGTCTGCTTTTGACAGCCGGCTAGTTGTGCTCGAAGGGCATTTTCACCTTTTTTCTGATGCGCTGAGACGTGATCGCAGATGTTCCAATTCTTCTTTCCATGCACGTTCTTTTTCTTGGTACACCTGGAAGTTAACAATATTAGGCGAATTTATGAAATGTCAGACTTTTAACTAGTACAAATACCTTTACGATGATTTCCTCATTTTGCTCCATTGTATTCCTCACCACTCTGAGCTCATTTTCTTTGTCACGAATGAGGGTCTGAAATGTGCAGGAGCTCTAATAAGGCCGTATCACGAACAACTTTCTCAAAAAAAACAGTATGAAAACTAATGACTAGTTACCTCGTAGTCAACGATACCGGAATCACTAGGTGAAGGAGTAACATGGAGAGCAGAGTTTCTGCCTGGTGTTGGATAATTTGGTTTCTGAAATAATAGTAAATAAACAAATCATAGAAGTCCTTCATGTTTTCATAGGGAAGCTCTCTAGCAGAGAGAGGCGAGCGGTCATAAATCAAGACCAGGGAACGTCCTGCCACTGAAGAAAATTTTTGTAGAATACGAGTCCAGCGAATTCCCTCCTCTAAAACGACCCTTCCCCTGCCCCATACTATTTACTACCTTCTTTACTACCTCCGAATTTTCAGTAGTTTTTTATCAACAAAGCACATCATGAGTTGGCATTTTGGACGAGTCCGTACGATCGCCCCCTGATAGATGGCTTGATAGATGGCCCGTCTTCGTCCCCTTTTTAAAATCAGTTTGTTGCTTTTTTTTCGGGCACGTCCTGCCGCTGGGGAAAATTCCCCGGAAAAATGATCCCTCCCCGCCCCCCCCCCCCAAGGGTGAGGGAGTCCACTGGGGTATACAACACATGTGAAACACGAGAAACTGCGAGAAGCAACAGGGAAAATTTTTTTCCCCAGCGCCGCGAATTTCTCTAGAAGGCAAATGCACCCCCCTTCACCCAAGAACGAGCAAATACGACCCCTCCGCCTTACAGAGTTATGAAACAAGCAAAATCAATAATCAGAAAAAATTTCTTAGACCAAATAAGACCTCGCCCCCCCCCCTCCCCAGCGATCAAACACGACTCGCCGAGTGTGCCTTCCTCCGTTGTTGAGAGGGAGAGGGATATAGCGCACTTGAACAGGTCAAATAGAGAGAAGTTTTCCCCAGGGACATATAGGACCGCTCTCGCTGGGGGGGGAGGGTTCCTCAAACTAAATATGACCCCTTTCCTTGCTGGGGACCCCTAACGTGCGCAGTGCACCGGTCTAGATGCACTCAATTCGGGGGATCGTAGTTTAATCACTGCCGGCGCAAAAATAATAGCCCACGGTACTGCGCAAATAGTGCCAGTCAGCGTTAGAGCCAGTTTGAAAGGCCGAGAAGGGAACCAGTCACTACCGAATGATAAAAAGCCTCCAACTAGGGCTGGATAGAAGACAGGCGTCATTTTTTCCAGTTAAGCTCTTAAGATTGCTCTTAAGATGATTCAGAAAACAGTATCTAAGAGTTTTCTGCTCTCGAAACCAAAAATTTGCAAGTTGTATCCAGCGGGGGGATTACTTTGGGGGTCATGGTCACCAAATCACTGGCTGATCACACATGAATTTGTGCGCCAATAGGACGGGAACTTGACGAGTAAGGAACGGGAAAGAAAAGTCACCTTATTGGTGCTGGGAGGGCTCGAAAACTGGCTTCCGGAGCTGTGAGTACCACTGGATCCTGTGGATGACGT